GTCGTCAAGGAGGAGTGGAAGAGGACTCCAGTGGAAACCTGTGAAGCTCTGGTGAACTCCATGACCAAAAGGGTTAAGGCAGTGCTGCAAAATAATGGTGGCCACACAAAATATTGACACTTTGGGCCCAGTTTGGACCTTGTCACTTAGGGGTGGACTCACTTTTGTTGCCAGCAGTTTAGACATTAATGGCTGTGTGTTGAGTTATTTTGAGGGGACAGCAAATTTACATGTTATACAAGCTGTACACTGACTACGTCACATTGTAGCAAAGTGTCATTTCTTCAGTGTTGTCACATGAAAAGATAGAATCAAATATTTACACAAATGTGAGGGGTAGACTCACTTCTGGGAGATACTGTATATATTTGTATATTTGTATATACACACACTTGTGCTCATTTTTCCTCTACTGATCTAAATACAGCCCATTGTTTTTAATGAAACTGTACACACAGGCAAGTAAACTTATGCTACTCATAGATCAGTGAAACAAAATGATAAAAAAAAAATCAGCATTGCCGACCAGTATTTTCGAACACTGCTTACGCCACCTTCCCTTGATTTTATTAAAAAAAAATAATTTTTATGCGCAACTGCTATACAGCCCATTCTTGTTTCATCTTCCAGGAATATCTGATGTTTGTAAATCAGTAGCGTGTGCAAGTACCGGCGACACCATGACTGATACGCTTTCCAATGCAAGTACTGGTGACACCATGACTGATACGCTTTCCAATTTAAGTACTGGTGACACCATGACTGATACGCTCTCCAATGCGAGTACCGGTGACACCATGACTGATACGCTCTCCAATGCGAGTACCGGTGACACCATGACTGATACGCTCTCCAATGCGAGTACCGGTGACACCATGACTGATACGCTCTCCAATGCAAGTACCGGTGACACCATGACTGATACGCTCTCCAATCAGTTAGCGTATTTCTAGAAGACGAGGGTTGCAGCTTTCCGGGGAATACTCCCCGAATGTCGTTAGCCCTGGCACCAGCAGAGCTGACCATCTAAGGTCCTCCAGAAGACTTGCAGGAAGATGTTGATGGGTTGAGGTGACATAACCCCCCCCCTCCCCCATCTAGTCCACACACAGTGCTGGGACCCCCCCCTTCTCTCATAATAAGAAGACATTATTGCCTCTTCCTCACTAGACAGTACATTTGAAGTGAGATGTAAAAAATATACCTTGGAATTACATACACAAAAAAAATGTCCTCAAAGCTGGAGGTTTAGACGCCATTTTTTTGTAGACAGCGGAAGTGCTGAACAAGGTTCAGTCTACCAGCGGTAAGCGCCGAACTGCGCCTCCTGCTGGCCATTCCTCTGCATTCCACACGTTTCCACCTCTAAAGAGCGCTCATTATCCGCCAGGAAGAATCGGAAGTGAGCAGGCAGCCATAGTCTTGTAGTCCAGCGGCGGCCATTTTGTCGTGGTCCACCAGGAAGTTGTTGAATTGACAAAAAAAAAGGGGGACGAGTGTCAGATTGGCTTGCTCTGCCTATTGTGTCTTTATTCCTGCAGTGCTGGCTGGCTGTGGCTGGGCTGACCAGGCTGAAACAGGTATGAGGAGCCAATGGCTGTTATTGTTGTCTGTCTTGGGGAGGATTGTAGCTGTTGGAGGAATGTTACCAATGTGAACCTACAGGGGGTGTTAGTGGTGGTCAATCAACCTTGATTAGAGTCCAGAAGCCCCCAAACAAGGGGTTGCCTTATTACTCTGGCATGAAATGTTGCCTAGCCATTCTCAGTGCCTGCTATTGGTCAGGAGCCATCGTAGTATTAACCAATAGCAAAATCAGACCGCTGTACCAACTTTATCGGAAGCCTGTCATCAAAAAGTAATAGGGATCACCAATGCAGATCTCCTTCTGAAAATGCTGATGGCCTGCCTGCTGTTCTGATCCTCAGGCTGCAGTGACTTCCAGCTGCACACCTGGAACAAGTAGGTGGGTTTGAACGACTTTCCTCTGATCTGCATCCTTCTTCTGGGCTGGTGATTACCAATTGCAAACTGTGACTCGGCACGATTTTTTTTGAGTGCCAGAGCCATTTTTGAGTTAAAGAAAAAAAAAAAGAAAATAATTTTAGGCCTGAAGACTAATTAAACTCCCCCCCCCCCCCCCCCCCCAAACGTTATATATTTCCTGAAAGCAGGCACCCTAGAACAGTGGTCCTCGAACTGCGGTCGGGGGGCCAGGTGCTGCTTTTTGCATGTCTTTATCTGTCTCTTGGGGCACTATTCCTCCCACTGATACGAAACACTATTCTTCCAACTGACGCCAAAAATGGGGCACCATTTCTGCAACTGACGCCAAAAATGGGGCACCACTTCTGCAACTGACGCCAAAAATGGGGCACCGCTTCTGCAACTGACGCCAAAAATGGGGCACCACTTCTGCAACTGACGCCAAAAATGGGGCACCACTTCTGCAACTGACGCCAAAAATGGGGCACCACTTCTGCAACTGACGCCAAAGATGGGGCACCATTTCTGCAACTGACGCCAACGATGGGGCACCATTTCTGCGTCTGACGCCAACGATGGGGCACCATTTCTGCGTCTGACGCCAACGATGGGGCACCATTTCTGCGTCTGACGCCAACGATGAGGCACCATTTCTCCGACTGACGCCAACAATAGGGCACCATTTCTCCAACTGACGCCAACAATGGGACACCATTCCTCCCAATGATACCATGTGGTGCCTATGTGGTGATGTTTACTGATGCCAGGAAAACTTCTAGTCCCGCTGGCCATAGTCCAGTTTAGAAAGTGTGGAGACCCCTGCCCTAGAGAGTAAAATAGCGAAGATGACATAAACCCCTGAAAACATATTTTCCCAAAGCAGACACCCTGGAGAATAAAATAATGGGAGTTCCAATATTATTTGGCAGATGATAGTAGCGCAAGTCTTTGAAATAAAAAATTTGAGTAAATCATACACTAAGGTTAGGTTTAAGGCACAATAACACAATATATTCTTAAATTTTTTTTCGTAAAATATGAAAGGTGAGGTTTCACTGAGTAAATGGATACCCAACATGTCAAACTTTGAAACCGTGAAACGGTGTCAAACTTTGACACACTAAATGTTCAGGTTGCTCCGAGTAAACAGATACCCAACATGTCAAAACTTGAAACAGTGAAACGGCGTCAAACTTCGGCAAACTAAATTTTCAGGTTGCTCCGACTCAATAGATACCCAACATGTCAAACCGTGAAACTGCATCAAGCTTCGGCACACTATATTTTCTGGCTGCTTCCAGTAAATAGATCCCCAACATGTCAAAACTTGAAACCTTGAAATGGCTTCAAACTTCGGCGCACTATATTTTCCATAGGCGACCCTTTAAAAGCCCCCTACAGGTCATCAGTTTATAGATAACCATGAAAAATAGGCTTAGAATTGTAGGTCTCGTTCTGGCATGTGCGGCGATATGTAAGAAGTGTAAGGCAATTGACTTTTTGTGTGTAGGTACCCCCAATGTGTGCTTTTTTGTTTGCCTATGTGGGGGTGGAGGGGCCTCAAAAAAACTTTTCAGGTGGTATTGTAAGTGCTTGGGTGTAAACTTTATTTTTTTTTTGCTTTTTTTTTTTTCATCACATAGAGGGCAAAAAGTCCCCTTTGTGATTTTTTTTTTTTTTTTCTTACAGGTTAAGAAGCGAGACACCAATGTCTTGTAAGGGAATCGCCACTTCTATGTACAGGAAAAGATCTGGTTGTGTTCTTTAATGAAGCATTAAATTTCCCACCTGTCCTCCAGTGAAGCTAATGGAACGCAGATTGTGGTTCATTAGGTTCTTCCCCAGCCAGTTTGGTAGACTTTGCTACTCCACCTTCTCTAGCCACTGTGTGACCAGAGGGAGATGTTGGTCACATTTGTAATGATTGCCCATTTGTTGATTGCGTATTGGAATGATTGCCCCTTTGTTGCCAGTGTCTTGTAACAATTGCCCAATTGTTGCCGGCTCTTTTTAACATTTGTGGGTTTGCTGTCTTTGTATAGCACTGTTGCCCCTTTTATGTCAGGATAGGGTTCCATGTTTTGCCTAAATATTGGCATGTCCGTTTGTTTAGAGTGGCCTTTCTCAACCTTTTCAATATGGAGGAACCCTTGAAATAACCTTCCAGTCTCAGGGAACCCCTGTTAAAAATGAATATATCTACAACTCATGATACATTAGTGTGATGGTCAGTGGGAAGAATGATCCTTACACATGTGGACATTGGGAAGAATTCCCCCTTAGAGATAGCTAAAAAGATCAATGGTGTCAGTGGGAACTTATCTGAGAGGCAGAAATTGCTCACTGCCCAAGGAACCCCTGGTAACCTCTGGAGGAACCCTAGGATTTCACTGAACCCTGGCTTAGAGTATCCCATTTCACTGCAGGACCCCCAAGGAATCTCAAGAGCTCTGTTTTTCAAAAGCTCCTAGGCTTGAGTTTTGGTGAGGTTTGACACTACTGTTGGTCGGCAAGATCCAGGTTTGTGTTGGGTTTAGGTCTGCTTTATGCACAGAGCCTTGTCCTATCTTAGCAGAATGTGTAGAACTTGACTTGCTTTGACGGTAGCTTTCCATGATAGTCCAACGTTTTTAGCCACTGAGGTCTCCAGTACGGTGGCAGTGTTTTAATTATACTCCCGTATTTGGTGGATTTTAAGAGTGTGCAGATATTTTTTGATGATGTAATGCAGCAATTCTCAACCAAGGTTCCACGGAACCCTGGGGTTCCTCCAGAGGTTGCTAGGGGTTATTTGAGCTGTAGCTGATTGACCTCCTATTTGATTATGCCTTCATAGTTCCAGGGCCAACACCAATGACACCAATGTCATGTAAGGGAATCACTACTTATGTGTACAGGAAAAGATCTGGTTGCATAAAGTTTTTCACCTTACTTACAATGTATGGAGGACTATTACATGTACCATTTATTTATTGCATATGTATTGCCTTTGCACCATACCCAGTGCTGCAGTCATGACTGATCCACAGACTATGGATGAGGCGAACATAATTACTGAGAAGATATTGAACTTCACCCTGGAGATCATCTACCTTATTACTGGAGAGGTGAGGAGGATTCTGGGAGGTCACATGACATCACTCCTATCTCTATTAATAAAACACAGAGCTGACCGGAGAGGTGACGAGGATTCTGGTAGGTCACATGACATTGCTCATATCTATTAACCACTAGCCTACAGGGCACTTATACCCCCTTCCTGCCCAGGCCAATTTCAAGCTTTCAGCGCTGTTGCACTTTGAATGACTATCATGCAACACTGTACCCATATGAAAGTTTTATAATTTTTTTGAGACAGATAGAGCTTTATTTTGGTGGTATTTAATCACCTCTGGGTTTTTTATTTTTTCTTAAACAAACCAAAAACCACTGAAAGTTTTTAAAAAAAAAAAAAACGCTTTTTCTTAGTTTTCGTTATAAAATTTTGTAAATAAGTGATTTTTCTCCTTCACTGATGTGTGCTAATGAGGCTGCAGTGATGGGCATTGATAGGCTGCACTGATGGACACTAATAGGTGGCATTGATGGGCACTGATGAGGAGGCACTGGTAGGTGGCACTGTTGGGCATTGACAGGCATCACTGATGGGCACTGAAAGGCAGCACTCATATATGGCACTGATAGGCGGCACTGACTGGCACTGTTAAGTGGCACTGACTGGAACTGTTAGGCGGCACTGTTAGGCGGCACTGATGCGCACTGATAGGCGGCACTGATGCGCACTGATAGGCGCACTGATGCGCACTGATAGGCGGCACTGATGCGCACTGATAGGCGGCACTGACGCGCACTGATAGGCGGCACTGACTGGCACTGATAGGGGGCACTGATTAGCAGCACTAATAGGTGGTACTGACTGGCATTGATAGGTGGCACTGACTGGCACTGATGGGTGACGCTGAAAGACAGCTCAGATGGGCACTGATATGTGGCATTGATGTGGCACTAATGGGCACTGGCAGGTGGCATGAATGAGCACTGAGAGCTGACACTGATGGACACTGACAGGTAGCGCTGCTGGGGCTACACAGATCATCAGGGCACACTGATCATCAGTGCTCTGATGATCTGTGTAGATGTCCCCTCCGAGGAATGCCGATTACCGGCTCTCTCTTCTTCTCTGTCAGCGTGATAGCTCGTGAGGAGAGAAATGCCGATAACCGGCATTTCCCTGTTTACATGTGATCAGCTGTGATTGGACACAGCTGATCACATGACCGAGCCGACATCTTCGGCTCTTTTCGTAGATCGGTGATCCCGCTGTGTCCGAGGGACACAGCGCACCGACGATCGCCGCGCTGTGCGCTCCCGTAGCCACTCATGCGCGGTGAGAATGGGAGGACGTCATATGACGTCCTCCCAGAACGAGAGAACCGCCTTGCGTCTGTCATATTACTATATGGCAGGCGGAAATCGGTTAATAAATACAGACCTGACCGGAGAGGTGAGGAGGATTCTGGGAGGGTCACATGACATCACTGAGCTGACTGGAGAGGTGTGATTCATTCTTTGATTTAAAATAAGAGATATAAAACTTTATTGTGAAATGTGAGTTGAGAACTATTTTTAGTGACCTGAACTTATCACATATAGGATTACATAGTAGTGAAGAAGACATCTGTTGAACATGTGACGACCAAGAACATGCTTTCTCCCCATGTACTGAGAAGTGACAAAAACAACAATAAGAAGATTCTAGATGTCACATGCAAGATCACCGAGCTGCTGACAGGAGAGGTGAGCGGTGCCGGGAATTATGGGCCATTGTAACAGACAAGAGATGTGTTTGGATGGTGATCGTATTGTTGTTTGCTCCAGGATGTCACCGTCTGCTTCTCATCGGAGGAGGAGGTGGAGGAGTTAGAAGAAAATAAAGACCTGTACAAGGACATCAAGACCAAGAACCGGCCACCAGCCACATCACCGGGTAAGAGGAGACTTTAATTTCTTGCATTGAGGATCCACCTAGATACACACATCCTCTGATATAAAGACATAGAAACAATAGAGGAGTGGGAGTATATAGAAGGACACAAGGATCTGTAGAAGGACGTCATGATGGAGAACTGGCCGCCCCTCACA